TGCAAAGCAATGCCGAGGCAGACGCTGTGGACCTGATGAGCGAGCTCGAGATCATCGACCAGATCCCCAATCACCTCGACAAGGACACCTACGGCCGCGTCTGCCTTTACATGGTCAGCATGGTCAACTTACTAACTTACCCCGACAACGAGCTCTTCCTCAAGACCGCTCACGACATCTACTTGACATACAAGGAGTACGCTCTGGCAATGACCCTTGCCATTCGCCTCAACGACGTCGACCTCATCAAGGCCGACTTCGAGAAGGCCGAAGACCCCGCTTTGAAGAAGCAGCTGGCTTTCCTCATCGCACGGCAACGCATTGTCTTGGACCTCCCCGCAGAGGACGCGGACGCCCAGGCAGTCGTGGAGTGTCTGTCGAACCTCAAGCTGTCCGACCACTTCAAGTCGCTGGGTAAGGAGCTCAACATTCTGGACCCCAAGACCACGGAAGATATCTACAAGAGCCACCTCGAAAGCAGCCGCGTTGCTGGCATGACCAACCTCGATTCTGCCCGTCACAACCTGGCTGCCGCTTTCGTCAATGCCTTCGTGAACGCCGGCTTCGGCAACGACAAGATGATGCTGGTTGAGCAGGATAAGGAAAGCTGGGTATGGAAGACCAAGGGCGACGGCATGATGTCGACTGTGGCCTCTCTGGGTACTCTGTTGTTGTGGGATGTCGAGGCTGGCTTGGACAAGATCGACAAGTACACCTACGCTGCGGAGCCCGAGATCTTGGCTGGCTCGATGCTTGCCATTGGTATCATGAACTCCGGAGCACGTGTTGACTCTGAGCCCGCTCTGGCTCTGTTGGGCGACGAGGACAAGCTGCACCACAAGAACCCTCTTGTCCGAACCGCCAGCATCATGGGCCTGGGTCTCTCCTACGCCGGCTCAAACAACGAGCTCCTCCTGGAGCTCCTTTTGCCCATCATCACTGACTCTTCCCAGGAGATGCAAATTTCCGCCATGGCTGCCTTGTCCTGCGGTCTGATCTTTGTCGGCTCCTCCAACCCTGAAATCAGCGAGGCTATCGTTACGACACTGCTTGACGACGAGCGCAAGAACCAGCTCACGGACAAGTGGACTCGTTTCCTGGCACTTGGTCTCGGCCTGCTCTTCTTTGGCCGTCAGGAAGAGGTTGACGTCATCCTTGAGACCCTCAAGGCTGTTGACCACCCGATGGCGAAGCCGACGGCTGTGCTGGCTGAGATCTGCGCTTGGGCAGGCACCGGTGCTGTTCTGAAGATTCAAGAGTTGTTGCACATCTGCAATGAGCACATTGAGGATTCGGATGAGAAGAAGGGCGACGAGCTTCTCCAGTCATACGCAGTGATTGGTATCGCACTCGTTGCCATGGGCGAGGATGTAGGCCAGGAGATGGTTCTTCGGCAGTTTGGCCACCTCATGCACTACGGCGAGCCCAACATCAGGAGAGCAGTCCCTCTGGCCATGGGTCTGATCAGCCCCAGCAACCCTCAGATGAAGGTCTACGACACACTCTCCAGATACTCTCACGACAACGACAACGACGTGGCTATCAATGCGATTTTCGCCATGGGTCTCTTGGGTGCGGGTACGAACAACGCTAGACTGGCTCAGCTGCTCAGACAGCTGGCCAGCTTCTACCACCGCGACCAGGAGTCTCTCTTCATGGTGCGCATTGCTCAAGGTCTTTTGCACATGGGCAAGGGCACTATGTCGGTCAACCCCTTCCACACTGATCGCAACGTTCTTTCGCGCGTGTCCACTGGTGGCCTGCTCGCTGTTTTGGTCGCCATGATCGATGCCAAGTCGTTCATCACATCTAACTCACACTACCTGCTCTACTTCCTGGTGACGGCGATGCACCCCCGTTTCTTGGTGACGTTGGACGAGGACCTGAAGCCGTTGAAGGTCAACGTCCGCGTTGGTCAGGCAGTGGATGTCGTCGGCCAGGCGGGTCGGCCCAAGACCATCACCGGCTGGCAAACACAGAGCACGCCGGTGGTTTTGGCGTATGGCGAGCGTGCGGAGCTTGAGGACGAGCAGTACATCAGCTTGAACAGCACACTTGAGGGATTGGTGATTCTCAAGAAGGTACGTTTGAAGACACTATTCCCAAGGTGAAGGAGTGCATTGCTAACTAGTTATAGAACCCCGACTGGGTAGAGGAGAAATAGATGATTTCAGGGTGTTACGGGGACCTGGGGTCGTAGGTCCAGGCTTGGGACTGGGACACGATACACTGTATAGTAATCTTACGTCTGTGAGTGGCATTCGCAATGTCATCAGACAGATGAGATCCCACATGAATAGACGGATCAGCTACTGCAATGAAGAGGCGTTTTAACGTTTACATATTTCGAAAGTGATATGTTCTCGAATACATGTGCAAATCGTCGCAATTCCCACTTGAAATTTGATAATGTCTGCCCGTGGAGCTGCAGTGGTGAGTTGCCCGTGGTCTCGGTGCAACGAGGAGCGGCTGCGGCTGTGTGGTGGGTTTGTGTGGTTGCAGATGTAGATGCTGACCAGGCGACTCCGCTTGCCTCTTGCAGCAATTATTGCCGGCATGAGCCAATCGCCGTTGGTTCTGTGATATCTGGGGATTTCCAGCGATCCGAAATACGATGAGATTATAACATCAAGTAATCGGCACTGATACAGCTAACTATCAACCTCTAAGACCTTGAGGAATCGAGACATTGCGCATGCACATGGGATATCTTGTTTCCCCATGTAGACGGGGGCGAGGACGAAAGAAAGGTCTTGCTTGTACGTAATACACGTCACGGCTGGTGCATGGCGGGATATTGCCTGTAAAGCGATACGGGCACGACGGGCACGATGGACGGGACGGGATAGATAGGGGACAAGTTGCATGGGGTGTGTTGAAGGTTCAGAAGACTAAACCAGGCTGAGGAGAGCTGACCGTGGTGCCGCGGTGTAACCCTGTCACTGTCCGATGCCTACGTAGTACCTTGTGCCAAGGCACTGGAGTCTGGGAGACTTCGGAGAGGAGAAGGAGAGGAGGGGCAAAGTTGCTAGCGTTGGGTGGAGGCTGGGGGATGTTGGAAGTGGAGATGGGATGGGAATGGGCCGGGCAGAAAAAAGGGATGTTCTGGGCTGGGGATATCGTGAGCCAGTGTTGTGACAATATAGGTGAATACCTAGATATATTGATAGCCCACGAGGCTCGAACTTTAAGGTTGGCAATAAAAGCATGCAAAGAGAGGGCGTTCAAAACCTGAGTCTGTAAATGTGAGTGCGAGGGTGCGCCGGGATGTTACACGATGCGATTGCGTGTGATGATGATTGGGGTCCGTTGGTCGGATGTTATTGTTGGATGGGAACACTGAGCCTCTCTGGCCGATGGAGAGGATTCCGGGGTCCCGGTCACGACGGCGGAGCCCGGGGAGGCAGCCGCCGCGCCCCCTTCGGCGGGATGCGTCGCATCTGGGCTCGTCTCTGTCTCGTCTTTCTTATCAGTTCTGGGCCTCTCTCTTTTGCGAGTTACAGCGTTGAATCTTGGTGTGTGTGTGTGTGTGTGTGTGTGTGTGTGTGTGTGTGTGTGTGTGTGTGTGTGTGTGTGTGTGTGTGTGGTAGACCTGAGATGGAGGAACGAACGTGGAAGTGACTCCCAGCCGCTGAAAGGTTCCAAAGGGCGGGAAGGCTGCCAACCTGCCAAAAGGTAAAAGTTGGTTAGATCTGCAAGAGATGCAAGAAGGATGCGGGATGCCAAGCTTTGAAATGGAAGGCAAGATGCTACCTACGGGATTTAGATTCCCTGTTGTGTCATTGGCCGGATGAGTCAGGCGATTGGCGGGCGGCGGTTCGCTTGCAACGTGCCGTGGTGGGATGAAGGGAAGGCACGAGTTTGTTAGTTGTATGCCATATTGGTGCGGCTGTTGGGTAGTTTCCTACCTACCTAAGGTACTTTACGTGCTTACCTAGTCTGCTAGTGAGATGGATGGCAAGTGACAACGGGATGTATCATGTCAGAGCTGCAAGGCAAGTGAAGCTAAGTCTACGGAGTACCTGCCTTCGGATATCAGTTAGGGAAAGTACGGAGTACGGATACAAGCTTGACGGGCAAGGTGCAAGCAAGTGCGAGAGAGGGCGCCACTGCCATGCGAGGTGGTGGATCGCGCAATTACTGGGTGGATATCCAGGCGAATCTAGCCGCTTCGCGCTTCGCGGGCAACAACGGGGAGACCCTGGAAAGCAAGAGCGAGACTGGATCACTGGACTAGAAATTCCTCTATCTTTCCCTCTCTCTCGGCGCTTTCCTTCTTTTCCATCCATGCTTGTTTTCCATGCGCTACTTCGTCAAGGTACTTCGTTACTTTGTACGCGTTCCCTGGCAGTGGCACCCGTAGCCCAAGATGGTCTTATTCCCCAGCTTTTGCCTCGGGAAGTGCGCGCCCAGCCCACCTCGTCTACAGCAACTGGAAGGGCGCGCGGGTGACGCTTCCGACTTCCTATCTATAGACTAATAACTTCCTCGTCACCCCTCCTCCTCATCTTCTACCTCCTTTCTTCTCGCCGAGCTTTCTCCTATCTGCAAGCTCTTTCTTCTTTGACTTTGAAAAAGAACCTGCGACCAGGGAAAGGAAACCAGATCATACGAGAAGACCATCCGACCATTGGCAATCGATCCCGCGTAAAAAGACTACATTGGCGCTTGCTCGCTTCTCCAACATCTTTCTTGGAGAAGCGCAAATCGGACGTTGGAGTTTCGGAGGCGCGTGAACGTCGCCCATTGCACACCGACACCGGCCTGAGCAATCCCTCTGTCGCATTCGACTGCGCAACACCGTCTTACCTGAGATTTCCCGTTCGAAGCACCAAGACGCGTGGAGATTACTGGTTGGAGTCACCCAGCGGATTGCGCAACTCGGATAGGAAATCGAGGCGAGAGCACGACGTTCTATTCTAATACGACGGAAAAGGAGGTGTGACTGATATCCGCATCTTTACATCTACACTCGAAAGTCGGTCAGCAACAACTACACCATGGGGGACGACCGCAGCATTCCCATCAAGGCGGCTTCTTCGAGCCGCGACTTTGTCGCCCAGCTCAGCTCGTCTTTCATGACGGGAACGCCACCCGCACAAGAACTCCTGGCAAGAGATTTGGCGGAATGCTCCGAGGACGAATACGTCGACGAAAATGAGGATGCCATCGGCTCCGAGGACGAGGACGTGTCCGCGGAGGGCCCTCTCTTTTACCGCCGCCCGAGCGGTGTCGCATTCGGCACCTCCCGCCCCGTCATGAACCCGCAACCGATATACGCAGCCGAGGAACCACCAGTCCTCACCAGAGTCGAGAAGAAGCAGTCGCGCGATGCCGAGCTGAGTCTGTTGCGTGACAATCATCTTTTGCCTCCCAAGCATGCCCGAGAGGAAAACGAGCCATTCTATCGTCGTGCCTACAGACGCCTCTTCAGCACAAAGGTCCCACTCGAGCCTCATGATGAGGAGGCACCGCAGGTCGTCATTCGTCGACCGACTGAGTCGACTCCTTTGTTGTCTGGCACTAGCCCGGCTCCGGATGCCGACGGCCTCGAGAACCTCAGTGAGCAATGGGAAGCGGCTGTCTCGACGGGCCAGCTTCGCACTACGTGGCAGCGCGAGGCCAAGACCATTATCCAGTATGCCAGCCCGCTCATCGTCACATTCATGTTGCAGTACTCCATCAACGTCGTTTCCATCTTTGCCGTAGGACATATCGGTAAGATAGAACTCGGCGCTGTGAGCTTGGCGACCATGACAGCCACTATCACCGTCTACGCGCCTTTCCAGGGGCTGGCAACGAGTCTCGACACCCTATGTGCGCAGGCCTACGGCTCCGGACACCGCCATCTCGTCGGGCTACAATTCCAGCGCATGACATATTTCTTACTCATGTGCTTTGCTCCGCTCGCGGTCCTGTGGTTCTTTAGTGAATCGGTATTGCGGCTCTTGATCCCGGAACCCGAGTCGGCGCGGCTGGCCGGCCAATACCTGCGTGTGCTGATTCTGAGCGGACCGGCATTCGTCTTCTTCGAGGGCGGGAAGCGGTTTGTGCAGGCGCAGGGTCTGTTTCAGGCCACCACATGGGTTCTCTTGATCGCCGCGCCCATTAACATCCTGTTGAATTGGCTGTTTGTCTGGAGGTTGGGATGGGGTTTCATCGGAGCTCCTGCTGCGGTTGTCTGCACCCAGAACCTGCTTCCGCTGTTGCTGTTCCTCTACGTGCGCTTCATCGACGGATACCAGTGCTGGGGCGGTTTCAGCAAACGGGCTCTGTCAAACTGGGGCCCGATGCTTCGCTTGGCTTTGCCCGGCATGATCATGATTGAGGCCGAGTACATGGCTTTTGAGATCCTGACTCTTTTCTCGAGCCAGTTTGGTCCGGAGTACTTGGCGGCTCAGAGCGTCGTGGTCACGCTGTGTGCTATTACCTACCAGATCCCCTTTCCCGTCAGCATCGCGGCGTCCACCCGAATTGCTAACCTCATTGGTGCCGGGTTGGTGGATGCAGCAAAGATTACCGGTGGAGTGGTAAGTTTAGACCCCTCCATCACACGCTCAAGGAAGACCTGGTTTCAAAGAATGATGTGCTAACTGGTTCGACAGGCATTTGCGGCAGCTCTGATTGTGGGCGTGTTCAACGTCATTCTCTTTGGCAGCTTGAGGTTCCACCTGCCACGACTCTTTACCAACGATGAAGAGGTCATTGCCATCGTGGCCAACGTGCTTCCGCTATGTGCGCTGATGCAGGTCTTTGACGGCCTATCCGCGGGAGCCCACGGTTTGCTGCGTGGCATTGGCCGCCCTTCCATCGGCGGCTATGCGAATTTGACAGTGTACTACCTCATTGCGATGCCCATCTCCTTTGGAACCGCCTTTGGTCTTGATTGGAAGCTCAAGGGGTTGTGGCTGGGTGTCACGATTGGACTTGCCTTGTAAGTATTTTGTTCTGCTGTTTGGTTTTTCCTTCCCTCTGTTCCCTCCGGCTTCTTGACAGGTTTCTGCTGGATTCCCCGAACATGGGACGAGGGACGAACAAATTACGTGTGAGAGGAACTTGACTGACTCATGTGCTCTGTTACAGGGTGGCTATTATCGAGTATTCGTTCGTATACTTCACGGACTGGCACAAGGCGGCCAAAGAGGCAGAGTCGAGAAACCAGGCCGAGTGAAACGTCCTTGGCCAAGAGTTCATTTACGACTTTTTTACGTATTCCCCGGGATCGGCCAGCGGGGTTATGATAACTGTTTGGCTATAAAATTGTGATTTAATGATCAACTATTGGAGATGTACGTCTGGGGTATGTCTTGATTCGCATCTGATGGGCCTCGGATTTCAGGCTTGATCATGATTAGCTAGCAAGCGAGCGAGCATCGCAAAGCACAGCATAGGTTCAAAAAATAATTGACGGGAAGCGGGAGAAGAAGAGAAAGAATGATCCAAGGATGATACGAATGCGGGCTCGGCCGTTACAATGCCATGTCAAAGTGTCTGCGACTCTGCGTTGCTCTCGCTCGTTAAGACCAAGTCAGGCAAGTTGGTGCGTCCGTTCGATACCTTGGCTTGGGTGTACCGTGGGTATGGTCCTGTGACGTCTGTGGGAAATGTACGCTCAGATACTGACGGACGTCCGTGATGGTTCGCGACAGAAACGTGGGCATTTGTGCCTGTCAAGCTGGGATTCTCGAAACGTTCCATTGCCGGCAGAGAGAACATGGGCATGGAGGTGTACTGTGTCCTAGATTACTTCATCGTTGGAAGCTTGGGGCGCATCGCAAAGAAAGGCTGAACAATGGGCTCGTCGAGGATTAGGGGAACTTTCAATCCTTCCCGTCAACTTCATTGATGAAGAAGGGTTAAATGGGTGTCTCAGCTTGTTTCCCCAGCTATGATTCGTAGCTCCTAATAAGTTTGGAGTCATGGTGCCAGTGCAGAAGCTCTCTCGGACTCAAGGATCGTCTTCTGGCCTGGGCAGCGCAGAACCAACTCCAAAAGGCGAGCTAAGCCAACGAGACAGGGATACGGGAGATTGGCAAATTGGGACCCAAATTGGGGCCACAGCGAAACCAGTGACAAACATCGATAAGTCGGGTCTGTGAATTGAATCGATTTTAGGTGAGCCACCGGGGGGGGGAGGACGAATGGCGGGTGCAGGGGTATGAGGCGCACTGGACATTTTTCGACAGTTTCCCGCCTTTGGAGGGTGGAGGGGAGGAGGAAGATGGGGAAGGGGGACCCCTCCTTTTCTGCGAATCGCTACGGATACATTGGTACCAATTTCTCGTCCTTGCGCAACCTCTCTCTACCTTTACTCTCCCACTCTCGCACATTCGCAACTTCGGACGGGGGAAGTTCCGAACGGTATCTCTTTTTGCTCTCACATACTGTCCACGGTGTCTTTGCGCATCTTATAAGAAGAGTGGTATGTCTCCCTCGCCCCCCTTGTGCGCACGCGCGAAAGCTATCTCTCTAGCTATAGCTAGTTGTCAACAACATCAGAGAGGAGAAAAAAAAAGTTTTGAAATTGGAAAACTGACGCAACACGCGACACACAGAAAGGCACATACACACACCAGACTTTCACAAAGCCACGAGCACAGAAAGCACAATGTCTACTACTACGACGACGACGGCCAACGAGGCCATTACGGCCGAGTCGATCCTGCGCCTCTTCCCCGACATCGACACGAGCACCGAGGCCCTCTCCGGCCACGATGCCGAGCAAATTCGGCTCATGGACGAGGTGTGCATTGTGCTGGACGAGAATGACAAGCCTATTGGCAATGCTAGCAAGAAGGCCTGTGAGTAATTTCTCCTGTCGCTTCTCTGGTCGTCTGCTGGGTTTGAGTTGTGAAAAAGCACCCTTGCACGAGTTGGTTGTTGCGGTGACTGGCCAAGCGCTGCAGCTGTTCTGTCACAGCAGAGAGAGAAGGGGGGGGGGGCAGAGAGATCGCGCAAAAAGGAGGGGAAAGCAGCAAGACAGACAATCGACTGACACAGAACCTCCCAACCGCAGGCCACCTCATGACCAACATCGACAAGGGCCTCCTCCACCGCGCCTTCTCCGTCTTCCTCTTCGACCCGGAAACCAACCGCCTGCTCCTCCAGCAGCGCGCCACGGAGAAGATTACATTCCCCGACATGTGGACCAACACGTGCTGCTCCCACCCGCTGGGCATCCCCGGCGAGACGGGCGCGAACCTCGAGGACTCTGTCGCGGGCGTCAAGCGCGCTGCGCAGAGGAAGCTGGAGCACGAGCTGGGCATCGACCCGAAGCAGGTGCCCTTTGACGACTTTCACTTTTTGACGAGGATTCATTACAAGGCGCCTAGTGATGGCAAGTGGGGAGAACACGAGAGTATGTGCACTCCTTCTTTTCTCCGTGGGAGAGAGAGAGAGAGAGAGAGAGAGAGAGAGAGAGAAAGTCTCGATGGAAGGTGTACTGGTTTCAGCTAACGCAATGTACAGTTGACTACATCCTCTTCATCAAGGCCAAGGTCGACCTGAAGCCCAACGAGAACGAGGTCCAGGCGACGCAGTACGTCAGCGCCGACAAGCTCAAGAAGCTGTTTGAGGACCCCCAGCTCAAGTTCACCCCCTGGTTCAAGCTCATTTGCAACTCGATGCTCTTCCAGTGGTGGGAGAGCCTCGACTCTGGGCTGGAGAAGTACACCAACGAGCAGGAGATTCGTCGCATGTGAGAACGGACGATGATTGGTATACGGTAGCCTTCTGCGAAAGCCCGATTGTTGGCAGAGGGAGCGGTAGGCCACAAGGTGCGAACAAGGTGTCGGTCGTGCGAGAGCATTAGACGTGGAGTTTGTTATTTGAGTTTTCTGTTGTGCATGTGGTGGCAAAAAAAAGAGACACTGTTGAAGTGCTCCCCCCTTTTTTCTATTTCTGAAATTTCCATAATCCTAGATATCCCCCTTTTTTGATCACATGAATACGACTTGGGGCGCTGGCTGCTGGCCACGTTGAATGAATGCTCGTCCATGTCGAATACTGTGGTTGTGAAAGATGATTTGGCTGGGTTTGGGTTGTGCTTCTCTCATCAATGCCGAGAATGGTGAAGGCGGGCTGAGGAGGACATGTGGCACCCCAGTGCTTTGTTCAAACATCGAACAGGCGGTAGGGGATATCTCAGAAACAATGCATAATCTCTGGGACTCCGAGTCGTTTTTTTTATGAGCTGGTTGTTTGCTCTGTGTACACAGCCGAAAGTTTTGTTTTGGCTTCGAAAGGGGCCGATAGACACTTCTCTTGCGCTACATGTTCGATACCAGAGCTTGCCCAGTGACGGCAGCGCAACGCTTTAATCGCCAATTTGGTAGAGCCTAGACTGGCCACCCTCGTGGAAAATGACTGGTTCTATTTCGTTATCCCCGAGAAGTGCTCCGCCAGAAGGAGGCTGGATCTTGTGTTGTAGTATGATCGTATGATCAGTCACTTGGGTTGACATTGCCCTCACGCCAAAGGGTGGGTAGATGTCTATGACTGGGGCTCAGTGTGCTTCATATTGGTTTATAGAATGCGGTCTAAATAGAAGCACCTCTTTAAAGTTGACTACACCGGAACATGATGGGACGCGGGTCCAGACTCACAAGATTGGGGGTCTCTGCAATATTTTGACACCTGTGCGGTGGCAATGAAGGGCGATGTCTCTGAGTGGTGGCACCTTTATTTCTAACGGGGGTTTCAATAATCTGAACGCAATTCAGATCATTTGGTGCTTTGATGATGACACTGAGGAGGAGCATGACATAAGTGCCTAACCGCTCACAATTTTGGTATAGTCGTATGCGAGGATTCTTCACGAACTCATTTTGAATGCTAGGCTGTTGGTCGAGACGCTTTCAATCCGTAGAGAATTTGATTGCTTTGGGCCAAATTAGAGGACGCCCTGGCAAGTATTCGCCTAACAGTTTGAGATGAATTCATTTGCAAGATAAAGAAGCCCTGTTCCAGTGAGCCACAGCGTCCGCCTGTGGCTCCGAATGCACTTGTTGGACGTACTACTCGCTATTGGACTTGGTCCTTCGATATTGTATCCGCAATCGTTATGGCTGCACGACCAGTGAACAAAATGCTCGGCCGAGGACATTTGAATAAAACGACACATGTGGGCTTCGATATCACTCACTTAAAGGCGTCGACGAGTATCAATAGACGTTGCAATAGGAGACTGATGGACAGTGAATCGGAGAAATATCAAAGCTCGTCAGCAACGTATCGGAAAGATGAGAGGCAGTGTTGACAGACTCGGAGTGTTATTGATGGAGACATTACTATTATCAATAAAAAGACACATTCATACACGCCCGAATACCATTTCATATCCACGTCGATTCTTGAGACAAGTAAAACTGGAAGACTACAGTCACAAGAGGAATGATAACCGTTTCCTATCAAAATTGCTTTACGAGAAGATGAATGCAGCAGTGGAGTTTCTACCCGCGTCTGGTATGGCAAGTTGCATGCAGAGTCACGCCTCACTTTCACCAGACTTTCACCAGGGACAAGCAGAGTGGTCCTAAGAAGGCGCTGTCTCGACACGTTGTCAATTTCAATGCTGGACCAGTGTCAATCAAGTCGTTGCTAAGAGTTCTGGGTGACTGAACTCTCTTGAGTGTCATATTGTGTACAAGTTGACCTCCAGGGCAGCCTGCTGACATGCTCTGAAGGGCTCACGTTCTTGGAAGTGACCTTGTTTCTGACAACAAAATACCTAGCTACCCAAGGTACGTCCAGAGTGAGGCTTATGACGTGTGCATTGCAGGTTCTTTCCCTCTCATGATTGCTTCGAGACTGGGTTGGGTAGGCACGATGAGATAGCGGAGAAGGGGAATGTCAATCCGCCCTTCCGCTCCGAACTAGTAGGTACCATCTGAAGACATATTGACACTAACAAGTCCGTTTAATGGCAAACTCAACTCTACAACACCTCCTCTCGACTCCTCACGGATACCCACAAGGACAGCGTTGAAGGTGATCAACCCAGTCCCATCAGCGTTCTTCGAACTTTGTATGTATCCCCGGCCTTCCACCGCAACTTTGGTCTTCGAAGCTAATTCGGATAAGGACTTGAAACAATCCAGCTACTGATCTGAGCTTCCCATCGGTGAGAACCCCTCAGCCACATCAACGAAAACCAGTCTCGCGGCACGTAATCCCCGAGAGCAAGAGACACATGCGATCTGCCAATGATGGGCGCCGAGTAATACGAAGCAGTGCCCGACCAACGAAGCAACGGTTCAGCGATGCTCATTCCTCATACTTGGCAGAGCACTGCATATGCACCCCACGTGCGAAGGATGGCGCGGTAGTCAAGCTTGCTTATCGCATTACTCGTCACTGCATCTGCACCTCTTATCTCGGCAACATTCCTCGCCACTACCCACACAACGCGAACGAGCAGAGCCTCCAAGACGCCAAAACTCTCCGCCTGACACCCACTGCAACTCATCCCACGCAGGTGTTTGTTGGGTCAAGCCTGGAAATGAGAGCTGATTTCAACCCTCCCAATGCTTCGCTTCTCCCACGCTGGACCGGCCGTGGGACACGGAACCCGCCACAGGGTGCGGTGCATCCGGACACCGAGCCCGGGGGCGCCGTGGACCCTGGACGGAGCTGATAGGGATCAGTGGGACGCCTTGGCCGCATGAAGTACCACAACGTACTATGCCGTTATTGGCATGTCCAGCCGCTACCATTGATCAGGTCTGGAAGTTATGTGACGGTTGATCCAAAGATACAGGCCACAGGCCACACTCAACTGACGATCTCTAGGATACCTGACCCAACGGCAGGATCCCGCCAACCAGCCTTTCCCCGCACACCGGCTGTCTTCCTCCATCTCCTTCGCATGTCCCGTCACCAAGACATGCCCCAGTGAGGATACTTCGCGCTGCGGCATCCGCCGATGCTCCTCAACCATTCAACCACGCTCTTATTAAGCAGGCCGCTTCTACTCCGTACAAAGATCATCCTTCCTCTGCGCTAGGTGGAGGCGAGCGGCGTTGGCTAGACCTGCATACCCGTACACACCAGGTCGGGATAGCCACCACCAGTCTCGATGCGGTACACGAACACATGCCCAAATCTCCACGACCAACGGCCGGACGTGCTGCTTGAAAGCTGCAGCCCAGGTCACCCCAGCCCGCCTCCCCCTCATCAACGTTTACGCCGCCGTCCTCGTGCCACCCTCTATTACGGCATATCCTGATAGTTTGAATCCCATCAGCATGGTTCTGGTTAGTGTTGAGGCAAGCCAAGCCGGGTATCAAAGGTAAATTGCCCGCATACTGTCGGTGCAAGCAGCATGGCACGCCTTACTTTCCCCATCTGCTCCGTGTTGTGCGGGCATCGTTGATGGCCGATCCGCTGTTCTCGTCGTCTTCAGCTACTCGCCGTGCTCGCCCTTGTCTAAACCAACAAACATTGGAGAGAATCAAGTACCGCCACCGCAGAGTCTCACAGCTGCGTGTTGATCCAATGCCCTGTGCCTATCTTTCCGTACCTCCCCTCAACGTCCTACATCCCGCAATTGCTACAGTCTCAAGGTCTCTCAGCTATCTGCAGTCCATCCCGCCCAGGAGTTCCTTGACTCTCTCCACAGCCTCCACTCCCCCCATCATCCCGGCTTGGGGTCTCACTCTCACTCTCACTCTCCCTCGCGCTCACTATCTCTCAGACTCCCACCTATCCCTAGTGTGTTTAGTGACACTCCCCCAGCTACATAACCCCCCCCAGCTCCTCTCCGCTCCTCACCTGGTCTATCTTCCGCTCCTCTCCTCTCCTCATCTTATCGTAACACGCTTTGGATAGGCTCTCACCAACAACACTGTTTGGCTTCCTACCAAGACAAGGATAAGGATCAAAGTCCTTGCTGCATCGAGCGTTCCTCGTCTCGAAGGCCCCAAGAATAGGGGGGGCAGATCTCTGGACAAGATCACAGCCACGAGCTGTGCTTTGTTGCTAGACTGCTACTCACTGGTCTCAACCAACAGTCAATATCAGCACCCATTCAAATCGTCTCTCTCTCTCTCTCTCTCTCTCTCTCTCCACACGAAACTCTTTCAATCAGTCACCTGAGAATTTGCCTGACAACATCCGCCCACCAAATCTTTTTGCCCGTTCATCGCATATCGTAAAGACATTGCTTTCTCCCGCGTCTTGCTGACGACGCCCATCCCTCAAACATCGAACTTCAACAAGCCTACCTAGCCAAAGGACGTAACCCGTCAAAATCATTATTGATGTCGGTTGACCTTCGTACAAGCCTCAATTGCCTTCGCCATCCATCAAGGTTTATGCCCGTCTCGAGAACACAACTCTCGAGAGACCATACGGGTGATAGTATACAGAATTTAAGTACGTCGGGCTCATGCTCATCACTGACAATCGCCGCCAGAATGACAAAGCTGTAATGGCGCTAACAAGCAAACCAAACAGATTCGTGAATAAGACAGGCTCTCCTGTCGAAAATTGAAGCCCGTCATGGAGCACGTAAGCAAAAGCGTCACCCTTGTCGAGCTCAAACGTTCTCTCGTGCCCCCGAAATGGGAGGATACCGTGCGTGTCATTGGCATGTCGGAGTGCAAGGAGGCCGGCCTCTCGCTGGCCCACGCCTTTGCTGCTGATGATCTTAGCCAGTATCTCCTCGACGCCGACGATATGGCAAGTCTATCGGCCGAGTCGAAGTGGAAGCTGCACGTCGATATCATGACCTACATCGCAGCCGCCCACTGTCTCAACGGTATTGTCACCACTATTGGCTCGGACTACGATGCCGTTGCTCTGTGGTGAGTTTTGTGTCTCAGTGTTTTCTGCTTCTCCCATTGGGGGGGGGGGGGGGGGGGGGGTCTCGCTGCTAAGGAGCACATGACAACCCCAACCTCTCTTCTCCCGAGCCTTTCGTAGTAAAAAAAAAAAAAAAAAAAAAAAAGCAATGCTGGACTAACACTAGACGGATCATAATAGGATGCCTCCTGGAAAGGACACTGACGGATGGTTGACCATCCTCCGCAGTGGGTTGTGGCGACTCTATTTCCAGCTATCTGTGGAAGCTAGACGTCGGTACTACGACGAGCTATTGCCTCTGCTGCATGACACCAAGATGGAGGTCATGGGCGAGCGGGACAATGATTGCTACTACCTGGTCTACCTAGGGACCAAGCCCAACGCCCGGGGCAAGGGGTATGCGAGAAAGCTGCTCAACGACATGATTGAGAGGGTACGTTGAAGACCGTCACCTGTGTTCCCTTCACACCCGTTGTCTGAAAGACAAGACTTGGCCGTGGAACAGCACTGTGTCATGAAATAATCCGAACCTAACTCTTGGAATAGGCCGACGCGGAAAACCGCGCCGTCTATCTCGAGTCCAGCTCTCTGTCCAACAACGAGTACTATCTCAAGTTTGGCTTCGAGTTCAAGCGCGAGATCCGGATGACGCGTGGAGACACACCCGTCAGCCTCTTCATCATGGTCCGCGAACCATGCGCGCACAAGACTGGGGGAGGCCAGACATACTCAACCGTGGTCTCCAGCAACGTCAAGCTCCAAATCAATACCGTGATGAAGGAGACGGTGCGGGTCTGAGTTGGCGGGTGCGCTGTCGAAGTTGTGAGCAACCTCCATCCTTCCTTTCGACCTGGAAATGGTGATGTGATGTGTGTTTTGTCCGTTCTGTTTACCGTATCCGGAGGTGGTGTAGTGTTACTTGCCTCTCATGTGTTGACGATCCCTTCATCTATGGCAGCGGTCCTTGTGGGCATTGCTTGCCACTTGTGTCTCATGCTGACTACAGCTCGAGTTTCAACATTGACCTGAATGGGCGCGTCTGGTTCAACACCGGCGCTGATGCGTGCGAAGCTTACTGTCCCTACTGCAGTGGCGATGGAACGATGCCTTTGTCATTTTTTTAACGAATGTTTTTGGATTTCCTCCTTTTAGTTTGCTTGTATCTACCGACTAGCTCTAGCCATTCATTAGAATACTGACCGATTCACTCATTTCAATCATATCAATGGTTTGCGGTTCTTCCGCTGGTCCCCCTTCCTTTTTCAGGCCTCAAATTGTGGCAGCATACCGACGTAGTTGCTGACAATTCGTGACTCAACGCCCCGATGGAATCTACCCTTGAGACTTTTCCCCTGCCCACGGGACTTGTTCTCCCTGCCCAGCAAATATGCCACTTCTCTAACGCTGGTCCGATCCGCATCCATTCTTATCTCCGCACACTGTTCAGCTTCCGCATCTAGTAATCGAGGATAGCCCAAGTCTCGTCGTCAATGGTGGTGTAAATCAGACCCTGCGAGAGCAACTCGTCCGCCGCCTCTAGCGTGGCCCGCATGGCCAAGCCCGCACCGCTCGAAATCTGGTTCAGGTGCACGCCCTCGTTGCCGCCGGGGGCATTGTTGATAAAGTTGAACATCTTTTGCGCGTTCCCCGAGACGCCCCTGAGCTTGGAAGCCTGCGCGGGGTTGCCGCCGCCCGCAGCCGCACCGCGACCGGCGCCGTATCCGTCCCCTCCGTCACCGTCGACGAACATGCCGTCCTCGCCTCCTCCTCCTCCTCCGGCACCGCCGTTCGCCGCGGGGCCGCTGCCGTCGGCGTTGAGGGGTCCCTTTGTGAAGTGCAGGTGGACGTACGTGGCCTCGAGGAGGTGGTAATTGACCTCGTTGAAATCCGTCACCGGACGAATATAGTGCGCGCCGACGTGTCGTTTTCCGTTGAACGACTTCAACCGGCCCCAGACGCGGACGTGGCCCTCGAGCTCGAGCTTCTCGTCGGCGTCGTCCTTTTTATCCGTGTCGACCCATTTTTTCACCTCGATGAGCCCCGTGCCGTCGTCGAGCTTGAGGGTGATGTTTGTGGGCTGGGGCGAGATTTGGCGGATCTGGGCGACGAAGGTGACCTGGGTGACGGTAGCGCCGTCGATTTTGAAGTCGGCGCCCGGGTAGGCTTCTTCGGCGTCGATGACCTGTTTGATTGTGACGGGGCGGAGGGATTCTTCGCTGTAGGCTTTTCCTCCGCCGCCGCCGCCGCCGCCGGCACCGCCTTGAGAACCGCCTTGGGAGCCGCCGTAGACGAAGCCGCCTGCGTCGTCGCCGCCGCCTGCGCCGTAGGAGGTTTTTGTGAAGCCGCCGTATGAAGCTGGTTACGGGTTGGTGGTTAGTTTGAGGAGCTTTTGAGGGAAGGGGAATTGGGTTGGATGTACTCATTGTGTCTGTGGTATCTTTGAGAAGGAAGCCTGTGTCGTTTCGTGTCTTTTCGTGTCGTGGGGATTCGTAGGTAGGCGGGGGTGAGGTTTTCTTGGGTAGAGGACGACGGGACGGTGGTGGTGGGTTGTGGTGTGTGGTAGGTGGTAGATTGTGGTTTTGAACGGGAACGCGTCTTTTCGCCTGGCGACGCGACTGGGGGTTTAATTGATGTGCACAACGTGCAAAGTGCCACCCGCTGCCCGCTGTGGAATGCTGGTGCCCCGCGTTGAGACCAAGACTGGATGAAAGCTGAGGGTGGGGGCCTCTGAGGTCCAAGATGACATAAGCTTGCGCTGGTGGTCTGTGCTGAAGGGTACCGGTTATCGGGAGCCGACTGACATCAGCTGTGGCCCTGTGGAGTTGAGGTGCTCGAGTCGAGATAAGTAAGTTTATACGGCGAGTGAGTGAGTGAGTGAGTGAGTGAGTAGGTGAGTGAATGAATGCCTTGCTTTACTTAGACATTGGTGAGTAATCAAGAAATACGGAGTACTAGGAAAAGGACATCATGATAAGGTCATGTGAGATGGGACGTATTGACATGGAGTACACTGATTACAGATCATTGAATGGTAGGTATCAACATGTCATAATACCTGCTAAACAACCTTTCTGGCCCAGGACATGTCTCTTGCATTCCACTCCTCAAGTATTAGGAGGCAATACGCCCCCTGCAGTGACTATCCGAAGCTGCAAATCTGTGTCTTGAGTGCACAGCAAAATTGCGAATCACATGAATCTCAAATGTCACAACACCTCAGGCCAATTGAGGTTCCATGAGATTCTCTCCGCGTTGGGTGACCAGTGTGGCGGTTGTCACTGCTCCGATTAGCCTCGGCTGACGGCGATTGCGGAGGGTCCCGCACCAACAGCGCCCCCACAACGGCTTCAACAGCGACTGGATCACTGGAGCTGGACCGCCTGGAGGAAGTGGCCCGACGCCTGGAGTGCCGCGATCAGGGAGCTCCTCCTCCTCTTTCTCGGGACTTTGGGGGTGGGCGAACGTTGACGCCGGCCGTTGCTTATGACATCAACCATCCCAGCACCTCCAAACCCAAATTCCCCTTTTGCCTTCTAGTCTTCCATCTCCATTAACATCCCACCCATCAGAGCCACACCATTGAACTAGCATTTTCTTTTGACTGACACCACCGTATTTCCATACCTCGAAACTGTCACTTAGAGCAGCCATCCTCACTATCCGATATACCCCCCATCGCCATCTTCACCGTCACCAGGCAAGGTGCACGTTAATCAACAAATCACTTCGCACATCACACGCCATTACCAGAAACCTACGCCCACATGGCGCGATCTCAAACGAAAACCCTCCCGGTCATCCCCCTCGCCCGCGGCACCATCCTCCTGCCGGGCGTCGCACAGCGCATTCCCGTCACCGCCGCCCGTCCCGATATCCCCGCCCTCCTCGCCAACGTCTACACCCGCGCCGCCTCTGCGGCCCCGAACGAGCGCATCGATTCCGTCCCCATCGCCTGCATTCCCGTCTCTTCCCCCTTCGTCGGCCCCAATGGCCAGCTCCTCATCCAGGATGCTGACCAGATGGACGAGTCCCTCATCAAGGAGGTTGATCCGGGCACCGCTCGCAAATCCGATCTCTACAACTATGGCGTAGCCGCCCGCATCACAGGCATCGAGGGCAGGGGAACTGCCGAGTTCGCTCTGCGTGTGGAGGGCGTTGCAAGAGTTCGGGTTGAGAAGGTCACGCAGGAGAGGCCGCACTTTGAGGCCAAGGTCAAGTACTTCTACGATGAAGGTCAGCCCGTCCCCTCTCTCCCGGAAACACAATAAACCGCGAGTAATCGCTAATGCTTTGCGCAGTCACGACGGATGCTCAGATGCAAGAACTCTTTTCCCTCCTCAAACTTCGATCCCGAGAACTCGTAACGATTCTTCGCATATCCGCACTCCTCCCCAGAAGCCCAGACAGTCCCGGCGGCCTGTCTCCTCTGTTGACGAGGAGACTCGAAATGTTCATCAACAAGAAGGAGCTCAAGGACGCCGGTCAACTAGCCGACTTCATGGCCAACATTGTTGAGGCTTCATACGAGGAGAAACTTGAAGTGCTAGCGGCACTCGACGTAAAGGTTCGCCTTGCCAAAGTCATTGAGCTCCTTGACCGACAGGTCAGCGGGATCAAGAACAACTTCAAGATCACCACCTTCACCAGCGTGCCCGTGCAGTTCCTCGACAAGATCAACGATAAGACATCACGCCGTGTCGGCCCCAACGGTGCTCCGCTGCCGCCTAACACCATGTTTCCTCCAGGCCCCAACGGCGTCATGGGCCCAGGCCAAGACGACGACCAGGAGCCCAATGAGCTGGAAGAGCTCAAGAAGAAACTGGACAAGGCCCAGCTCCCCCCCGAACCCGCGAAGATGGCGCAACGGGAGTTGAGGAGGCTGAAGAAGATGATGCCGGGTAACCAGGAATACCAGGTCACTCGCACTTGGCTGGATGTGCTCTCTGAGATTCCCTGGACTGCTACCACTGATGACAGACTGGGTCCCGACACGCTCGCGAGAGCTCGCAAGCAGTTGGATGAAGACCATTACGGCCTGGATAAGGTCAAGAAGCGCTTGGTTGAGTACCTGGCGGTGCTGAGACTCAAGCAGTCAATCAACGACGATGTCGAGGAGCAGATCAAGCAAGCGGAGGCGGAGGCGGCTCCTCCGGCCGAACCTGAGAAGGTTGAGAAGGAAGAGGACACCGAGAAAGCGAACAAGGAGGAAGCCAATGCCGAGTTGGAGGAGCGCGCGAAGATGGCCAACACCAAGATCGAGGTTCTGCGGTCGAAGCGAATGGTGGACCGGTCGCCCATCATGCTTCTGGCTGGCCCTCCTGGTGTTGGCAAGACTAGTTTGGCAAGATCTGTCGCCATGGCACTGGGCAGGAAGTTCCACCGAATCTCGCTTGGTGGTGTTAGAGACGAAGCTGAGATTCGTGGTCACCGACGGACGTACGTGGCGGCCATGCCTGGTCTGATTGTTCAGGGGTTGAGAAAGGTTGGCGTGGCAAACCCTGTCTTCCTTCTGGATGAAATTGACAAGTTGGGCATGTCCAATGTCCACGGTGACCCGTCCGCAGCTATGCTCGAGGTCTTGGACCCCGAGCAGAACAACTCGTTCACGGATCATTACGTCGGTCTGCCTATCGACTTGAGCAAGGTGTTGTTCATCGCCACAGCCAACAGCCTGGACACCATTCCAGCCCCTCTCCTTGACAGAATGGAAACAATCTATCTGCCGGGATACACAACGCTCGAGAAACGCCACATTGCCATGCAACACCTTGTGCCCAAGCAAATCCGGGTCAACGGACTTTCGGACGACCAGGTCAACTTTGACAAGGAAGTCGTGTCCAAGATCATCGAGTCATACACCCGTGAATCAGGAGTTCGCAACCTGGAGCGCGAGATTGGCTCTGTCTGTCGTGCCAAGGCTGTCGAGTTCGCCGAGGCCAAGGACGGAGGACAGCTCGGCACTTACAAGTCACAACTCACAGTCGACGATATCGAAGAAATCTTGGGCATTGAGAAGTTCGAGGAGGAAATTGCCGAGAAAACAAGCAAGCCGGGTATCGTCACCGGGCTGGTGGCGTACAGTTCGGGCGGCAACGGTAGCATCCTCTTTATTGAGGTTGCCGACATGCCTGGAAACGGCAGCTTGCAGCTTACCGGTAAGCTGGGAGACGTGTTGAAGGAGAGTGTTGAGGTCGCTCTGTCCTGGGTCAAGGCGCACGCGTACGAGCTGGGTCTGACGTCGGAACCGGCCGCGAACATCATGAAGGAGCGGAGTATCCATGTCCATTGCCCTTCGGGCTCGATCCCCAAGGACGGTCCCAGCAGTGGTATGGCGCAGGCCATTGCTCTCATTTCTCTATTCTCCGGCAAACCTGTACCTCCTACAATGGCCATGACGGTATGTCTTTCCTGAGTGACGAGGTGTATGACCAGCGGAAAACCGGTACACTGACACAACATTTTGTACTACAGGGCGAGATATCCTTGCGGGGCCGTGTGACTGCCGTCGGAGGCATCAAGGAGAAGCTCATTGGCGCCCTCCGAGCTGGTGTCAAGACGGTGCTACTCCCCGCGCAGAATCGCAAGGATGTGAAAGATCTCCCCCAGGAGGTCAAGGACGGCTTGGAGATCCTCCACGTCAAGTAAGTTTCCTCCCACCCCCCCCCCCAAGTGTCTTGCGTTTCTGTGTTTTTCTCGCTTCCTGAAGTCGTACCGCCTTCTCACCAACCGCCCCTTTTCCTACTGGCGCCGTGCTCCCGACGCCGTGATACCTTTGCCTGCCGCTTTGACCCCTGGTCCTGGAACCGTTCTTCACAATGTGCCGTGTGACTGACCTTTTTGTCCTACTCCAGTCATGTCTGGGAGGCCATCCGACTCGTCTGGCCTGATTCCCAGTGGCCTGGCGCGGAGCCCTACCCTCCCATCGAGAGCCGATTGTAGATTGGTAAAAGAGAAAGGGATGGAGGGGTGTATGCGATGCTTCACAAAGACCATGCACACCGCCAACACTCACTTGTTTTGTATTACTCAACATCATCACCACTATCATTTCGGACCGAGCCAACCTCTTCTGCCAACGACTGAGACTGTATGTAACGAAAGGGAAGGGAAGCGGCATTGCGCACACTGGGGGGAGGGGGGGTTAGTATGGCCCATTCGGTTTCGTTTCGGCGTTTTTAGAGGTGTCTCGGGTCGTCGCGGGACGGGCGTCCAAGACATGTTATTTTGTCATCCGTCCGCGACGTGTATTGTCTTTGTTTATAATGCGTGTTGCAAAAGTAGAAAGCTACGTGTACATGTTTCTTCTTGGATCGGTTCATAAGTTCTTACAATGGCATTCATTTTCAGAGACTTGAGTAATTCGTTGGTACTTCTTTGCAGCGCGTCACGTTGTAGTTGAACTAGCTCCGCGAAACCGTATGCAAATGTTCGGATGAAGTTCTTTTGCTACTTTTGCTCTTCCACGATGCTAAGTGACGGGGTGCGTGTATGTTTCTGAATGGGTTACTAGACTGGTTTATGCTGGGTCTCCTCCCTATCTATGTAAAAAGTGGGAGTAGGGAAATGTACCTCGGGCAGAGATGAACTCTTCCACTTTCTCTCCAGAGCCTGCAGCATCGACGACACACCCATTTGAGGCCATGTTCCAGATATAGTTCTCGTCCGCTTTAGCTATTGCAGTGTAATGCGTTTCCCATTTTATGGTCCTTTCTAGGTTTGGATGAGAAGTGAGAACCATGTTCATTTCGGAAGAGATGGTGGCAGGGAAAAGAGAGAGTACAGCTCGACTTTATATTTTTGACGTTGCTGGCTGTATGTGACAAGGACGATGTCACGGAAATTACTACAAGTAAACTGAAATATGCTATTCAGGTACGTTAAAACTGATGAAACTTGCAAAGGAAAAAAGGGAAAGATGAAGAAAAGACTTCAAGCTTCATGTTTTCTCACTCTCCAGGCTTCTAAAGTCTAAACAAATAATCTATACAGATAGGTATGTAGTCCTTCATGTTCCAGAGACAGAAGAAATATTCTTCTTATCCCACCTCTCCCGCGTCCCGCTTCCCGCTTCCATTCGGAGGAAAGTATGGTTTCCCAAGTAGCGGACGAGATTGAAATATGCATGCCGCTCCCCGTCTGGGTTTGGGGATAGGTTCCTCTCCCCCTTTCCCGTTTCTTTTACCGCGTAAACAGGACGCGGGCTGCGGCTACCCGCATATTTTGAGATGCTGTCGGTCGGGACTTTGGGTAATCCATGCAAAGCCAATGAGGAAGGGAGATGGGATCGCAACAGGCCAGTCTCTTTGGGTGTTCTTCCCAGAGATGCCCGGTCCCCCCCATCTCACGCCCTCACCCTCCCCGCTTCCGCTTCTTACTTCCGGTGCCGCCTCCGGTCTCCTGCGCAAGACTGCGGCCAAGCTTTGCTGCTGAAGAAGTTTGGAGCGGGCGGCGGGGGGTAAGGGAAGTGAAAGGGGGTGGAAGAATATCACGCAGAAGAGGCTGCTGAGCGATGAGCAGGGGAGGATTCCGGTGGGCGGCCTCGAATCAAACACCAACGGTAGACGACCACATCTTTCCTCTTTCTCTCGTTCCATCTCTTTAAACGATCCTGTCAACATTTCCAACACCCCTGATGAGGCCTCTTTCGACAGACACCACGCCCCCAACGACGTAGTGTCAAGGAATGGCGACCACCACCACCACCACCACCACGAGTGCCTGATCCGTGTAAGCCCCGACAGACAAGTCCAGCTGTCACGAACAGAAGCCAAGGTAGAGCAAAGGAGAAATCGCCGGCCGGCTGGCTATTATTCGTGACAGCGCCCGTTTACTCCCTCAACGTACAACTGCGAGTACACACAAGCGTGTACAGCGTACACGCCCCCCTTTCTCCCTCCTTCATTCCTTCACTCCCCTCTCGCTTTGTACTCATCGTCTGATCCCTCGCTCGTGTGCCACAGCATGACGGAGAATCTACTGGGACTCGATTAGCGAAATCTCCTTGTTCCACGGTAGCGTTATCACTCTTCGTTACACGGAGAAAAGAAAAAAGCAAGGGGGGGTGGGAGCGAAGGGGGGGGGGGCTATGTGCTACGGAGATTTTCTACTTTCCTCCTTGGGGTCCCCCCCTCGCCCGGTCTTTCCCGTTTCTTTCCTATGTGTAGAATCTGCCCGTTGTATTGTCGTGTTACCCACGCCGTTGTGGAGGTGGCTTGACGATAGTATGGGGAGTGGAGAGGCGCGAGAGAAGGAGAGTTGAGGAAACTCTCCGGGATGGTGGCTTCCCGGTAGAAAGGGCGGGAAGACGAGAGCAGTCTGAGAGTAGACTGAACAGGTTCCATTTCAATGCTTCCAGGCTTCGAGACCATCGCCATGCCTATGTTGTCCGAAATCTGCATGGTGGTTGTTAGCGGGGTGAGGAAGCTCGTATTAGCATGGACTCTTGAGGATGTCAATGTGTGAGAAACCCACATTTTGCCTTTAGCTAAGTCGACGACAGGCGTCAATAAGCTTAGCCGTCATCGCAAACCTAGAGGAGTGATTATCAAGAGTGTGCGCATTGGGTATGTGCATTACACTCCGAGCCGTGAGGCCGTACCAGTAGACGCCAGTCGTGCACCCGAGCTGGGTCCGCATCGCTAGGCCCGGAACTATTGGAGATAATCAACGGGTCCGGGTGACGGCCGGGAGCAGCCTCGCGCCGTTGCAGTCGGGATTTTTGATCACAAAATATTCTCCCCCCCCTTCAGTCTCCTATTCTCCGAAGACTTTCGGATTCCGGGAAATGAATGATCTAGGTCAGATCGCGCGGCACACGGGCCCTCGGAGACACTAGAATCCTATCATCAAAACGGCTCTCTCCCGGGTTCTATGACGAGGCTTCAACCTTCAGGAACAGCTCGAGCACTCGGGCGTTTTTTTGATATCCAGCCGGGCGGCTCAATAGTTCTGCCATCGCCCCGCCACCCGCTCGGGCTAGCAGGAAAGTCATTCGCTGTGGCTGAAGTGTGTAATTTTGACGGCCGGTTGAGCTGGCTAGGCCATCTTGACTAATTAAGGTAGTGTCATGCTTTGGCTCGACGGCTGCCATCTGCCATTGCGCGTCTGCTCGGACACTAACAGGAACGGTGGCGGCAGATCTTGAGGCGATTATATCAAAGTCCCGGAGCCATGTGGTAGCGAGCAGCTAAACAGGTCGCTTTTTGGTACTGCGCTTCTCTACTTTGCGCTCTTCTTTTTCCAACTCTGACATCGTCTTTGGCCATGGAATTTACGGGTCATTTGGAAGTAAGTCACGGTCAGCCAGTCTGGCCATCGTGCGGAACCTCAGCCTCGTCGGCAGGTACCGATGCGATGACGTCGAAGCCGGGCGTCGGTGCACCGAGGCTGCACAGCGATTGTCTCCTAATTTATCGGTCATGGACTCTCGGGGGTGGGTTCGGAGAGGCCGTTGGTTGGCACGGTTGGGTATCAAGCAATGCCAGATGAAGATGACCTGATGTATCCAGCCACCGTGGCCACGTTGCCAAAATGCCTCGAATCGTCAAAATCATTGCTCAGTTGAGATCTTGTCCGATGCGGTTCGCCGACAGGGTTTGCCAATGAGATCAACACGGAGCCCAGCCGGCTTCCACTCAGCATCTCCGTTACCAAGACCCTTGCAAACTAAGGCGTAATTCAGCGCAGACCGACTCGAGACCACTGCAATCGCGAGGATCCAAGGAAATGATCAGGATCGTTCCGGACGCCCTCGACAGTCCATCCGTCTCAGAGAAACTGCAATATGCGTACATATTGCGTGGTGATTTGGTCTCAATAGCTTGCCTACGTCGCATTGACCGCCCGGTATGGGAAATCGTCTTCGCGACAGATGGTGCTTCAAGATGTTGGCAGCTGGGTTTCCGACTGCCGTGCAGCCGCGAGACCCACGAGTCTTCGTATAGCCGTGGCAGCTCAAGATCCTTTGGCAATCCGTCCACTACCCCATTTTGGTCCGATGTGGTAACCTTGCGAACGATCATGAGGGGATCGCTCGACCGAACGGGGCGCGTCATTTTGTTCTGCCAGGGAATGGGATGAACCTGAAGAGGGGTAAGCATGGTAGCAGGGCGCCAATGCCAACCAGCCGGGTTGTAAATATCTACTTGCTCCATATGGATACAAGCCCAAGTGCAGAGAACTCGAGAGCTTTCCTTGCAGCGGGCGGGCGCTATTGCCAGTTGAGCATGCATGTTGTACAGGTACTCTGAGAGCCAGGGTGGCCCCGAGTAAGTCTCGTCTGCAAGCACATCCAACGCGGCTCGGGTGAATCTGCAGCGTCAGACAAGGGTTTAAAGGTTCGTCTGATGTCTGTCAGGACTCGATATTTCCTTCCCGCTGGTCCCTTGGCCGGCCACAATTGTAGCCAGCTCATCAGAATTCAGATGCGCATGTCAGGTCGGTGGAGCCGTCACAAGCATTCGTAACATCCCCACCGCCAATGCGCGCGCGGGATGATAATCACCGACCAAACAGTGCAGAGACTGAGAGGGGGATTCTTGCCAGTGGCATTCGAGGCCATAGTCATGCTGGCTCGTACGGTCCACGGATAGGAACTGTATTGGTATGGTGACTCGGCGAGCCGTTCGCGGCCGGGTATGGATAGTGTACGACCACGAAAAACTAGTCTGGGAAGCAAAGGCTTCCTGGCCCAGTCTAGACGCTGGTGAAGTCGGATGTGCGTCATGTTCCTCTCCGGACCCCAGCATCATGTTGCGATTTGCCCATCGTTATTGACAAAATGGATATTCCCGGTCTCTCGCCCGGTCTGTGCAGTATCTCATCTCCTCAAAGAGAAGATAGGCGTCAGGCTCAACAGGCCTCGAAGCACATCAATTGCTTGTCTCAGCGAAGGCGACGTATCCGTAGCAAACTCTGGCGATGCGGGAGCTCGTGGCAGG